AAAAAAAAAAAAAAAAAAAAGAAAACGCAGCCCCTGAGCTCTGATTTTGTAGAAACTCCAGACTCTCCCAGGAAGGGATCTGGTTTGTGAGATTCTCTGCTGTATCCTCAACCACTAACATGCAGTAGGTGCTCAATAAATGTTTACTGATCCTGGCATACAGTAGGTGCTTAATAAATGCTTTTTTGGCCTGGCACACAGAGGCTACTCAATAAATGTTTCCTGGGCGTGGCACATAGTAGGTGCTTGATAAAGATTTGCTGGGCCCAGCAAATACACATGCTTAATAAATGTTTGGCAGGCCTGGCACACAGTAGGTGATCAGTAAGTGCTTTTGGGGCCTAGTACACAGTAGGTGCTCAATAAATGTTTGGTGGATGCATGGACTCATGCTTTGTCCCTGCTGCCACTTCAGAGGGCCATTGCTCTCTTATGGGTGACACACATCAGTTTGCCACCCATGCTGGGGAGGGGACAGGCGTCCTGGGGGAGGGAATCAGGTCCCACTCACCGATGTACTCCTCTACCTGCACGTAGCCATCTCTGTTCTTGTCCAGGTCCTCCAGGGTTTCCTGGGGAGAGAGAGGCATTGGGGCTGGCTCCCGAGGGGGGGCTGGACCCCTGGGGTCAGGACGTGAGGTTCTCTCAGAGAATCTCGCTCTGGGGCGGCTGTGGGGCAGGCATTGGAGCCGTCTCAACAGGGTGTAACTGTCCGGGGGGTGTGTGGGAAATCTGGGGCTTTCTGGGGTGTCATAAGGATGCCAGCTCTACTCGCACTTAGTGGATGCGGGCAGGGACCCGGATGCACAGGTTGGCGCCACACAAGCTGTCCTGTATCCCTAACAACCTTCTCACATTCCAGCAGACACCCTCCAAGGGCAGAAGCGTCCTTCCACTTAGCAGAGCCTCGACTCTAACTCCGTCTTACATACGAGCCCCACGTACTTTGTGGACTATTTTGACACACACTCGACACCTCCGTTCTTTGTTTTGTCTTCACTTCTCAAGCAAACGGCTTCTGCTCCCCACTTTCACATTCAAACTCACTCCCTGTAAGAGGGTGCAGGCCTCTGACACTCCACTATGGCTTCTAGCAAGGCCGAGCTCCAACATTTTAGGGTTGACAGATAAAACACAGGCTGCTCAATTACATTAGACTTTCAGACAAACAACGAATAATGCTTTAGTGTAAGTATCTCCCAAACATTGTATGGGAGATACTTATGCTACAGGACACAGAGTTACGTTTGAATTTCAGATAAATAATTTTTTAAATATAAGTGTGTCCCAAATATTGTGTGCAACATACTTACACTAAAGAATTATTTGTTGTTTATATTATTTGGTGTTATAAATTCAAGCAGAATTGAATGCCCTGTGTTATTTGCTAAATCTGGTAACTCTACAACACTTCCATATTGAAATTCCTCTATTTTGTAGGTGGGTCTCTGCCACAGCATGGCTGACGAGTGGTGTAGGTCCACGCCCGGGATCCGAACCCACGAACCCAGGCCGCTGAAGCAGAGCGCACGAACTTAACCACTATGCCACAGGGCTGGCCCCCAAATTCTTATTATTATAAGTGACTTTCCTTTAGTTTCGCCTTCATAGCACAGTTAGGGCTAATGTTCCTGTTTTGAAATCCAGCGTGTGGGGTGCTTAGGCTCGCTATCCACAAATGTGAGAGATGACAGCAGAGTTTAGACCAGGGCTCAGCAAACTTTTTCCATAAAGGGCCAGATAGTAAATATTTCTGGCATTGCATGCTGTACAGTCTCTGTCAAATGGACTCAACTCTGCAGTTGTAGCATATGTAAGCAAATGGGTGTGGCCGTGTTACAATAAAACTTTATTTGCAAAAACAAGCTGTGGGCCGGATGTGGCCGCAGGTTATAGTTTGCTGAGCCCTGGTTTAGACCATGGATTCAGCTGCCTGGGTTCGAATCCAGGCTCTGCCACTTCCTGTCTGGGTGATCTCAGGCAAGTCACTTCACCTCTCTGTGCCCAGGTGTCTTTATCTGTAAAATGAAGATGACAGCCCCCCCCATAGGGTTGCCATGACGATTACATTGAGGTGATGCAGGTAAAGGTGTCAGATGGGTGCCTAGCACATGGGACATGTTCAGTCTGGGTTTGTTAAATAATTTCAACTCAGGAGAGTAAAGGGGAGTTATGACATTATCTGTCACAAAAGAGGGACGTGGGCCTTGCAGGATGGGGAATCTAGGGGGTTCCAGAAGCCTGGGTTAATGACATCTCTCCTCTCTGGATCTCAGTCATCTCTGGAATGGGCTGGAATTCAAAGTGGGAAGCCCCACTTTGAAGATGAACACATAAAGTAGTTAAAATACCTCGGAAATATCCAACACAACTGCAAATGCACAGCCCGTTGATCCAGTGATTCCACTGCTAGAAGTTTTATCCTGCAGCTCTGTTGACATGTGTGCATAAAGTCACGTAATAAGCATTTACCATAAGCCAATTTTACAGTCCCTATAACCACCCTTGATGTAGGGATCATTATCAGCACCACCATCTTACAGATGAGGAAATCCAGGTCCAGAGAGGTTAAATAACTTGCCCGAGGCCACACAGCCAGGAAGCTGCAGGGCTGGGATTTGAACCCAGGCCTTCCGGCCTCAGACCCCTTGATCCTAAGAGCCTTGCCACAGACCCTCAAAGCAGCTCTGGAAATGGAGACACAAGAAAGGGGTCACCTGTGGGGATGGTAGTGGGGAGCAGGGTTGGGGGGGAGGGGAGGGCAGAAGATCATTCACCTTTTCTGCATTTTTTGGGCGTTTAACCACATCAATATGTTACCTATTTGAGAAATACATATAATTACATGTTTAAATTAATTGGTGAAAAGCTAGGCATGGTCGGAGTGGGTATAAATCCTTCCAAGAGTGAACCCTAATGTTAATTATGGACTTTGGGTGATAATGATGTGTCAATATAGGTCCATCGATTGTAACACATGTACCACTCTGTGGGAGATGTTGGTTTGGGGGGTGCTGTGCATGCATGGGGGCAGGGAGCATTTGGGAAACCTCTGGACCTTCCGCTCAATTGTGCTGTGAATCTAAAACTGCTCTAAAAATTAGTCTATTGGGAAAAAAAGAAGAGAAAAAAATCCTTCCACTATAGAATACAGAAGGAACTGGCAAAAAAAAATTATAAAGGAATAAGATGGGGGGCCAGCAGGAGAGGCCTCAGATGGACACTCCATGTGTGGGGTTGGGGTTTTCCTGGGGTTCGGCCAGGATTAGGGCTTCTCAAGGCGCTCCTGGGGGATGTGGTTTTTCTGACGGCAAGCTGGGGGGTCTGGACCCCAAATGTGAGCCCAGGAAGGGAGAGGTCGGACCAGGAGAGATTAGACACGGGGAGTTGGGGGTGGCATGGGAGATGTCACCCTCCACTGAGCTGGGTTCCCTGGGGAAGGTGCTGACGACCAGGTGACTGGAACTCCCAAGGTAGGCGTGGGGAGGCCGGCCCTGGCACAGGAAGCCTGGGTCCCAGGAGGGAGGTGGGAAGCAGGGAGCGGGTCCCCAGGCCCTCGCTCACAGCAATCACGATGTCCCGCATGTGAGGGAACTCCTCGGGGTGCAAGAAGGCCGTCAGTTCCTCCCGGGTGGCCATCGAGTCCCCGTCCTGGTCGGCCACCCGGAACCGCCGCTCATCCCGCGCCAGCATCTTCTTGTAGGTCTCGGCGTCCTCCAGGTCGTGAAATTCTTCCCCTGGGGAAGGAGGGGTCCGGGTGAGATGGGCTTTAATGGAGGGCTCACCAGGCCGGTTGAGGAACGAGACAGAGGGATGTTCCTCAGGGGAACTGGGCAGGGAGACCTCCACCGAATTAATACTAATTAGTATATGTTCATTATTTGTATTTATTAGCTACCTCGTAGTGACAGCTTATTATATGCCAAGCTCTTTACCTACAAAATTGCATTTAATTCTCACAGAAAGCAAGTCCGGTGAGTTCTTGCATTTATTCTCACTGTGTGAAGCAGAAAACTGGTCATGAGGTCACACAGCCAGGAATGAGGGCCTTGGAGTTGACACGGGCCCACTGGGCCTCGAAGTCATGCTCTGGTACAATAGGTTATAGTGACTCAGGTTGCTGGACAGAGAGGAGGGGAAGGGTGTTGGCAACAGAGGGAACAGTCTGCAGAATATGGAGGTTTGAAGAGCGTGGCGAGTTCAGGGACACTGCAGAAGATTGACTTGGCTGGGCAGAAAATGCAGAAAAACGAAGCTGGAGGGGTGGGCCAGGCCGGGCTGAGGAGCTGGGACTCTCTTCCGGGGGCCCTGGGGAGCCACGCAGGACTGTGAGCAGGGGAGGCTCAGGGTCAGCTCTGGTGTGGAAAGGTCCCTCTGGGGATATATGGGGGACAGGCTGGAGGGGGAGGCTGGAGTGAGGTCCAGGAGGGAGAGAACAAGAGCTGTGGAGGGCCCAGGGCTGGGGTGTGGGGACAGAGAGTCAGGGGGCAGGGTAAATGGCTTTGGAGTTCTCAGGATGAGAGGTCAGAGGTCAAGGGTCAGGATGACAGGGCATCCTGGTCAAGGATCTGAAGTACCCCAGTCATGGGGTTACAGAGGTCGTGGACGCCAGAATGAGAAGCCAGAAATCAAGGATTGAGGGTTTCAGTGTGATGGGGTCCAAGAAGTGGGCAGACCTTGGTCAAGGGTCGGAGGTCAAAGGTCATGGATTCTGGTTATGGCGCTAAACGTTCTCAGGATGAGGGTGTCAAAAAAGTCAGGGTCACGGTGTGTGTGGGGAGCAGGGGTCGGGGCCTCGCCGCGTACCGGGCTCGTAGTGGCCATAGGTGGCGTTGCGCAGCTCCTCCCAACCCACACGCCCGTCGCGGTCCGTGTCGTACGTGTCCCAGGCCGCGCTCACCGAGTCCCGTATGTGCCGCTGCTGCGTGTGCGCGATCCACGCGCGGAGCTCGGCCAGCGACACCCAGCCGTCCCCGTCCCCCGCGCGGTCCATGCGGTCCACGATGCGCCTGCGAGCCGGGGCGGGGCACAGTCAGTCTCAGGCCCCGCCCACCCGGAGTCCCGCCTTCGCCGAGGTCCCGCCCCTCACACAGAGCCACGCCCCCACTCGAGACACACCTCCATATAGGGTTGAAAATGCCGTCCACGGGCCGCCGGCACACCCGGGAGAGGCACCTGTCAATCCTGGGGCCACGCCCACCACATGGCCCCGCCCCTCTAATCCAGGCTCCGCCCCCTCAACCCAGGCTCCGGCCCTTTCCGAGACACAGGGGGCCTATGGCTGTAGCTGCCGCCCAGGACACGCCCGGGTTGGGGGAAGGACCTACGACAATCCAGGGCCACACCCTCCACTCTGGCTCCGCCCTTCGATCCTGCACGTGCTCCTCCTCTTGCTCGACCGAGTTGGAGTGGGGTCAGGGGGCTGGGCGCCACACTGCGCCCCTCGCCCTCAGGACCCCTGTCCCAAGACTCCCTCTGAACTCCGGCTGCCATGGCCACAGGCGCCCCCGACCTCTCGCTGTCTCAGGCCCGGCCCTCTCCCCTGTTTCTGCTGGTCTTCGGATCCTCCGCTCTAACCCCGGCCCCTGCTCCGCCCCCTCCACGGCTGCGCGCGTCAATTGCAAGCCCCTCTCCCTCCAGCCCCGCCCCATGCTGCGCCCCGCCCCTTTCCCCACCTTCCCCCAGCCGTCGTCAGGCATTGCCCTAGGACCACCATGCGCAACCCCGCGGGCTGGGCCTGCACGCCCCACACCCCGTGCTTCAGCCTAATCCTGGGCGCCTCCGCATCTCAAATCGAGCTCCCACCTCACGCCCCTTCCCTCGGGCCGCTCCTGTCGGCTCCCAGGCCCCTCCCCTCTCCCCTGGCCACGCCCAGCCACTGGTCTGGGTCCTCGCCCAACCACTAACAGAGCCCACATGGAGCCCTCCTCTCTGTCCCTAAGCCCCCGAGACCCGGTCCCCGGATCGAATCCGAGACGGCCCTGCCCAGGGCACCGCCCCCTCCCGCGCCAGGCTGTCTCTGTTCTGATGGCTCTGTCCCCAGGACTCACACTGTACCCTGCGGTTCAAGCTGTGGTTAAGAGTATGGGCTCCATAGCCAGGAATTCGAGGCTCAAGTCCTGCAGCCTCCTCTTGCTGGCTGTGTGACCATGGGTAAGTCACTCAACCTCTCTGTGCCTCAGTTTCCCCCTCTGTAAAATGGGGACAAATAATAGGATCTACCCCACAGCGTGGTTGTGGGGATTAAATGAAAGCACTTAGAACAGTGTCTGGCATTGTAGCGCTATGCCAATGTGTTAGCCTGTCACTGCCCTCCCTCGCCCACCCCTCCTTCATCCAACCCCATCCACGCACGATCTCCTAGCAGCTGACCTGTCGACCACCGCTGTCTCCACCCTGATCTTGCCGCCATCGTCTCTTGTGTCCCACCTGGACAATTGAAGTTGCTTCTTCACTGGGCTCCCTGCTTCTTGCTCCCTATAGTCTGTTCCCCACTTGGCAACCAGAAGGATTCTGTTAAAACTTAAGTCAGCTCACGTCCTCCCTCTGCTCAGAGCCCTCCCATGGCTCTCATCTCATCAGAGAAAAGCTTAAATCTTCACTATGGTCCCAATGGCCCTGCACGACCTTTCTTCCTTCTCTGCCATCACCTCCCACCCGCTCCCTTCATCACTGGGTTCCAGCCACACGGGCCTCACTGTTCCTCAAACACATCCAGCCCACTCCTGCCTCAGGGCCTTTGCACTTACATTTCCCTCTGCCTGGAACGCTATTCCCCCATATACCTACACGGTTCAAATATTACCTTCTCTCTGAGGCCTCCTGTGACCTCCTTGTTTAAAATTACAACCCTGAATCCCCCCCAGCCCCCATCTCTCGCCTACCCCAGACGGGTTCGGCTTTCCTCGGGGCTGAGTTGGTCAAATTCCTTGGCCACTTCTCGTCCCAGAAAAGCCTCATGGTCGTACTGGAAGTTCCCATGGGCGTCATCATGAGGGGCCTCGCTCAGGGGGGCCGCCTGGTGCACCCTCCCCTGCCCGTGAGGTCCGGCGTCAGGGGACGGCTTCCCCTGGGCTCCGCGCCTGAGCAGCAACAGCAGCAGCAGAAGTGATGGTCGCCACATCATCAGTCCCTGGGGAGTGGCGGAGGCTAGGAGTCAGGGGTCACAGGAAAAAGGACAGGGACGGGACAGGAGGATGAGGAGCAGGGGAGGGGGGGGACCCCGAACAGGACAGAGAGATGGTAGCTGGCTGCAAAGTTTGGGGCTCAAGAAGGGCCGGGGATGGGGGAAAAGGGGCGCGGGGTTCTCAGAGGTAAAATCAGCTGTGGGGACTGACTCTTCCGAGGGGTCCCAGAGCCGCAAGCGGGGGATTCAAGCCGGAGACGTGGCGCACTTCCCACGCTAAGTGCAGGGCGGGGTCGCGGCTAGAGAGAAACCAGGCAGGCTCCCGGGCGTTGCTTCCAGCCTGGACCCTAATCCTCGACCCGCGTGGACCCGGACAGCCCTCCCTGGACACCCGCCCCCGCCTCTTTTTACCCCGTTATCCGGCTTCACGCGGCTCTCCACGCTCCCTCTGCGTTCTCCGAAAAGATGCCCAACTTGGCGGCTCTCCAGCCAGGCCCCGCCCCCGGCAGCGCAGAGGCCCCGCCCTCCGACCAATGAGCGCTCAGGAGGGCCCCCCAAGGGGCGGGGCCAGAGAGCGCCGGGCCGGCCGCGGACGCCCCTCGCCACGTCCACAAAGGAAAGCGCGGCCCACGAGGTTCGGCCCTGCCCCTTCCCCGGGCAGGCGGGGTGGGCGACGCCGGAGTGACGCGGCCCGGGAGAACTACAACTCCCGGCAGGCGTCGGGGCGCCCTCCCCGACCACCTCTAGTTGTACTAAGTCCAAAGCCTCATGGGAGATGTATTTTTATCTCTTTCCCTTTGTGGGGATGGTTTCAGAAAGAGGGGAACCCAGGGGCCAGAGGAAGCACCCCTTCCCTCAAAGAGGGAACAACTCTTCTCTTCTGATCCACCAAGAAGGATTCAGGTCAGACTCCAGCCAACAATTCCTCAAAATGCCTGGCACAGTGTAGGCATTCAGTAAACATTTGTGAAATTTAATGAATGAAAAATACATGACTTGGTATATAAAACTGCAGATTCCGCCACGCAACACGTTAGCTGCAGGAGAGATCTGAAGCCCAGGGCTTACACCATTTATTCCCCCCACCCATTCTCTTACCTCCCCTGCCTAAAAAGTTGAAATGATGAGAACACAATGCCTCGGGCCCAAATTCATGTAATACGTGGAGGTGGAAAAGAGCTATACATATCGGGAGGGGAAACTGAGGCAGACCACAGGAGGAGGAATCCAGAGGAAGGGCATTGGGCTCAGGACTCCTTCTGGAGGCTCAGAAATACCAGGATATCACGAGGTCTCACGGCATGAAAGGGACCTGACTACATTAGCTGGTAGCAGCCAGGCTGGGGGATGGGGTCACGAAGTTGCTGGGAATGCATTTTATATTCTAAGAGTCAGCATCCTTGGGCAGGCCAGGAGTGGGCAGGAGGGCCCCTATATCGTCCCCACGGAGAGAGATCCAAGGGGCTGAGGAAAGAGGAAGGAAGGGAGGTCATCAGAATCTCTGAGCTCCTCTGGGTCTCTGACTGCCCCCCCCCCCCCCCCGTTTCCCTGGGTGTGTGTCTTTCTCACCCTCACTCTCTGTTTTACTCTGTGGGTTTCCATCCCCCTCTGAGTCTGTTTCTCCCTCCAGTTCTCTGTCCCCACTTCTCCCTGAGTCTCTCTCTCTCTCTCTCTCTAGATCTCTGTCCCCCCCAGGACTGTGTGCCCATCTCTTTCCGGGTCTCTGTCCCTCTCTCTGAGGCTCTTCCCTCGTCCTGCCCCACACCTGGCAGCCCCTTCCTCATCCTCCACCACAGCAGAGCTCCTCCTGCGGCCACTGCCGTGAGCAGCAAGACGCCGATGATGACTCCAACTACTTGCAGCGAGGATCTGGCTGGTGATTCTGCGGCCAGAAAATGTGAGATGTTGAATGGACGCTCTACCCCATCTGAGTCATGACAGGGGACTGGGGGTTCTCAGTCCCTCCCAACCTCAGAAATCCCAGCACCAAGTTTCGGGAAGTAGGTATGGGCAGAGGAGAGGCTTCTGCTTATGTTTTGGGTCGGGGCAGAATGCTCCAGGTTGGATGTAAACCAGCCACAGCAAGAGTCTCAGTCACACCGGCCAAGCAACCTGTGGCAGCAGCGTGGGTGTTGTTCTGACTTGGAGAGGAGGGGCAGGCACAGAGCACAGAACAGCAGTAGGTCAGACTCATGGAGGACCGGCAGTAGCAAGGCAGTAGATGGTCAGTCTTGGTGAGGACTGGCAGCAGCAGACAACGAATGGTCAGACTCCGTGAAGACCAGCAGCAGCAGGATGGAAGGTGGTCAGACTTGGGGAGGACTGTCCATAGTGGTTAACAGGTGGCCAGACTCAGTGAGGCCAGCAGCAGCAGGACGGAAGGCAGTCAGACTTGGGGAGGACAAGCAGCATAAGACAGAAGGCTGCCAGCTTTGGGAGAATTGGCAATAGCAGGCACAAGGCAGTCAGACTCAAGAAGGACTGGCAGCAGTAGCTTGGAAGGTGGTCAGACTCAGGAAGGATTGCTGCAGCAGAGGGGCAAAAGGCAGCCAGAAATAGGAAGTATCATCACCCAGTGGGCCCTCACCCAGCTCCACAGTGAGGGGCTGTGCCAGCCCCACGTGCTGCACCCAGCAGCAGTAGTGGTGCTCGTCGCCACTCTTGACTGTTAGTGACGACCAGGCGTGGAAGGAGCCGTCGCCGTTGGGGCCAAGGTCGCCCTCACCGGAGCCAGCTGCCAGCCCGTTCCGTAGAAATCGCAGTTGCAGCTCCGGTGGGTAGAAGGAGAAGGCACTGCAGGTGAGCACAGAGAAGCCGGGGCTGCCTGGTCGGGCCTTCAGGCGCATGGAGGGTGGCTCTGCAGAGAAACAGGCAGACAGGCCTAAGCCCCAAGCCCACGAACCCCCAGGGCCAGGCCCAGGGCAGGGCTGTATAGGGACAGAGAGAGGCCTCCACTCCTTCCACTATACCCAGCAGCCCCCACCATGTGCCCTGCACTGTGCGGAGCCTGGAGAATATAGTGGTAAAGACGGAAGGACTTAGAGACCCAAGCTATGCAGCGTGAGGGTATCCCCCTCAAGACGCCATCTCTCATCCATTCCCTCCTACAATAGACATCTGTCATGTGCCAGATGCTTCTAGGCACAGGGGACACAGCAGTGGACAAGACAGACAGAAGTCCCTGTCCTCATGAAGCTTATGTTCTAACAAGGGGAGAGAGAGAAATATTTGTGTACAAATAAATGAAAGGGAAATAAACTGTAAAAGTGTTGTGGTGAGGGAATATAAGACAGACCCTACAGTCATTAAAATGATTGTAAGAGGATATTATGAAAAATTTCATGCCAGCACATTTGAAAATTTAAATGAACCGGACAAATTCCTTAGAAATACAACCTTCTGCAACTGACACAAGAAGAAATTAAAAACTCGAGTAGTCCTATAACTATTTAAAATATTTAATCCATAATGTAAAACTTTTCAACAAATAAAATTCTAGGTCCAGATGATATTGTCGGTGAATTCTTCAAAACAACTAAGGAAGAACGAATAGTTCTCTTATACAAATTCCTCCAGGGAAAAGAGGAAACCACTCCCAGCACATTTTATGAAGCCAGCATAACGTTAATAACGAAACCTCACAAGGACATAACAAGAAAAGGAATTTAAGACCAATATCTCGCAGGAAAATAGACTCAAAATCCCTAAACAAACTATTAGCAGATAGAATCGAGCAATTTACATAAAGGATAATATAAGTGATTATGATCAAGTGAAGTTTGTTCCAGGAATGCAAGGTTGGTTTAACATTTGAAAATCAGTTAATATAATTCACCACATTGGAATAAGAGGGAAAAAGCAAAATCGTCATTTGACAATATTCAGCACCATTCAAAATAAAAAGAAAAGAAAAACAAAAAAACCTCTTAGCAAACTAGGAGCTGAAGAGAACTTCCTTAATTTGACAATGGGCATCAACAAAAAAGCTATAACTAACATAATACTTAATGGTAAAATGTTTAATGCTTTCCTTGTGAGTTTGACAATAATCATGTTCAATATCACCACTCTATTCAACATTGTACTGTCGATCCTAGCCAGTGCAATAAGATAAGAAAAAGAAATAAAAGTTATTAAAATTGGAGGAAAAAAATAAATGAAACATGTCAAAGATGACATGATCCAAAAGAACCTATACAAACTTACAAGAAATAAGTGAAGGGAGCCGGCCCCATGGCTTAGCGGTTAAGTGCGTGTGCTCTGCTACTGGCGGCCCGGGTTTGGATCCCGGGCGCGCACTGACGCACCACTTCTCCAGCCATGCTCAGGCAGTGTCCCACATACAGCAACTAGAAGGATGTGCAACTATGACGTACAACTATCTACTGGGGCTTTAGGGGAAAAAAAAAAAGGAGGAGGATTGGCAATAGATGTTAGCTCAGAGCCGGTCTCCCTCAGCAAAAAGAGGAGGATTAGGATGGATGTTAGCTCAGGGCTGACCTTCCTCACAAAAAAAAAGAGAAATAAGTGAATTCAGCAAAGTTTCTGGAGACAAGGAAATATATAAAAATCTATAGTATTCCTATAAACTAGCTACAAACAATTAGAACATGAAATTTTTAGAATTACCACTTATGGAAGTCAAAAAAATGTCTAATACTTAGGAATAAACCTAACCAAAGAGATGTAAGACCTCTACACTAAAATCTACAAAATATTACTGAGAGAAATTAAAGGACATCTAAACAAGCAAAGGCCTATACTGCTTTCACAGATTAGAAGACAATATTGTTAAGATGTCAGTTCTCCCCACATTGATCTACAGACACAATTCAACCACAATCAAAATTCCAGCAGGATTTTCTTTTGGCAGAAATGTATATAGAAATGCAAATGACCTAGAAAAACCAAGGCAATAAAGCTGGTGAACTTAACTTGATACTAGTTAAGGTAAATACTAGATACTATGTACTAGATAGCAAAACCTTTTATAAAGGTACATTAATCAAGAGGGTGAGAGGCCGGCCCCATGGCATAGCAGATAAGTGCACGCGCTCCACTGCTGGTGGCCCGGTTTGGATCCTGAGCACACATCGATGCACCGCTTGTCAGGCCACGCTGTGGCGGTGTCCCACATAAATTGGAGGAAGATGGGCACAGATGTTAGCTCAGGGCCAGTCTTCCTCGGCAAAAAGAGAAGGATTGGCATGGATGTTAGCTCAGGGCTGATCTTTCTCACAAAAAAAAGAAAAGAGGGTTAAATATTGGCAGAAGTTGAGTCCAACAGATCAGTGGAACAAAAGAGAGAGTCTAGAAGCAGATCCACACCTAATTTAGGAAAAAGGCTCCACTCCAAGTCAGTGAGAGAGAGGGCATGATGGTCTTGCAACAAATGATACTGGGTCACCGGGATATCCACAGGAGGAACAAATGAACCTTGACCCCTTACCTCACACCATTACACACAATTAACTTGAGATGGATCATATAGCTAAATGTGAAAGCCATTTATCAATTGAGCTTCTGGAATAAGACACAGGAGAATACCTTCACAACTTCGGGAGAGGAGAGATTTCTTAAAGAGAACACACAAAAGAGCTATAGAACAAACGACGGATAAATGGATCTTCCTTAAAATTAAGAACTTTTGTTCATCAATAGGTTTCATTAAGAGAGTGAAAAGAGAAGCTGTGGACTGGGAGAAGTTATTTCAAATAGAATCATCTGATATATCCACAGGACTCATATCTAGAATATATTAAGAACTTCAATCAGAAAAAAAGACAAAAATTCCAATTTAAAAATAGGCCAAAGACTCACACAGCCACTCCAAAAAAGTGGACACAGAAATGGCAAAGAATGGGAAAAAGTGCTCCACATCGCTAGCCATCAGATAAATGAAAACCGAAATCACAATGAGACAGCACTACACACCCACCAGAGTGGTTAAAATTAAAGACAGATAATGTCAAATTCTGGCAAGCCTCTGAGCAACCGGAATTCTCATACATGGCTGATGGGAGCATAAAATTGGTTCAACCACTTTGAGAAAATGGTTAGCACTACTCTCTACAGCTAAACCTAGGCCCACCCTATGATGCAACAATTCTACTCATGGGTATTTACTCAAAATAAATGAAAATATAGATTCATCAAGAGGCAGGTAGAAGAATGTTCATAGCAGCTTTATATCTAATAGCCCCAAACTGGAAATAAACCATTCATTGGTAAACTGAGGTATGAACCAAGCAATGGAATACAACACAGCAATGAAAAATAATGAACTACGGATATTCACAACAACAGAGATGACGCTCATGACACCAAGTTGAGTGAAAGGAGCCAGTCACAAACGACCACACGCTCATACTTATATGAAGTTCCAGATCAGGCAATGCTATGGTGATAGAAATCAGGTTGGTTGTTACCCTTGGGGGTACGGAATGGGAGGGGACATAAGGAAGTCTCCTGAAGTGCTGAGAATGTTCTGGATCTTGCCCAGGGTGGTCAGAGAGGGCCCTGCTGAAGAGCTGACATCCAAGGTCAAACCTGAAGAATGAGAAGGACCCCATCACGGCCGGATCCCAAGGAAGAGAATCGCAAGCAGAGGGCAGAGCAGGTGCAAAGGCCCTGAGGAGGGAAAGAACCTGACACGCTGGAGGAAAGGGAGAAGGCCACTGTAGCTGGGGCGTTGTGAAATTACAGTGGCGGAGGGCGGCCGGACCATGCAAATCTTGCAGGCCATGAGCAGAATTTGGATTCTAGTCTAAGACTAGTGGAAGCTATCGGAGGATTTCAAGCCGTGGAAGGACGGGAGCTCATTTATATTCTAAAATATTCCTCCGACTGCTATGTAGAGGGTGGTCTCTATTGAGGCACGTGATGGAAGCTGGGATTGCAATGTGGGGGACTCTGAGGACAAAAGAGCTCTAATTCCAGCCCTGGAGAATTCCCCAGACACATGTAATTGCAGTTCAGAGGGATGTGTGCTGTCCGGGAGGTCACACAGGCATTGTGGGAGCCCAGAGGCCAGTGAAAGCCTTACAGCCAGAGGCATCTCCCTGGCTGTGACACCAGGAAGGAGAATGGCGAAGGGGAAGAAGTGGGAGGGTGGGTGTGAGCTCAAGGAACTCCGGCTGAGTGGAGCAGAGGGAGAAATGTGAGGCTGAGGAGAGGGATGGAGGCCATGCCATGCGCGGCCTCAGTGCCAGGCTGGGGGATTTAAACCGTGTCCTGGGAGCTACGGGGGCGCTGTGTGCAGAAGAGGGGCAGAGTCAGCTCTGGGGCTACAAAGGCCCCTTTGGAGTCGAGCTGTGTCCAGGAGTGGATGGAGGGGAGAGGCCAGTGGCCAGGAGGAAGCTGGGGTGGTGATGGTCCAGGGTTGGAGGATGGGTCTGAGCTGAGGAAGGGGCCTGAGGAGGAGGCAATGGATTTGAGTTGGCCAGTAGGAGAAGGTGAAGAAGGCCATTCCAGGCAACTGCAAGAAAGCCTGTTGTGTTCTAGAAACGGCCAACAGCCTGGGGAGGAGGGGCTTCGGAGGAACAGTCACTGTATACAACTCCGGGAGAAAGGTCGGTTGTCACCAGATAATGAAAGGCTCTGTGATCGCCAGGCTAAGGGGCTGGGACCCGTCCGGGGGGCCACACGTGGGCTGTGAGCCAGCGGAGGGTGGAGTCAGATGTGGGTGTAGAAAGACCTCTCTGGATATATACTCCATGTGCTTATATTTTTAAAAAATGGAAGAACAGGGGCCAGCCCAGTGGCGCAGCGGTTAAGTGCACGCACTCTGCTGCTGGCGGCCCGGGTTTGGATCCCGGGCGCGCACCGATGCACCGCTTGTCAAGCCATGCTGTGGCGGCGTCCCATATAAAGTGGAGGCAGATGGGCACGGATGTTAGCCCAGGGCCAGTCTTCCTCAACAAAAAGAGGAGGATTGGCATGAATGTTAGCTCAGGGCTGATCTTCCTCACAAAAAAAAAAAAAAAAGGAAGTACAAGTCAAAAATGAAAAAATTATTATCCATGAGGGAGAGAAGGAAAAGGGTGGAGGGGAGAGGAACAGGAAACAGACTTCTGTGAATGCACCTGGCCGCATAGATTCCACTCTAGAACTCTGTTTTGCAAAACGGTCAAAAAATGTGAAAACAACAGATAAAAGAAAAGCAATATCTAAAGCTGAAAAGCAGCATGAAATAAATGAACCTAAGTCTTCATCAAGCTGATGTTTTCACAGAGACGGGAATTAATTCAAATAACATTAAAACACATTAAATTGGGCCGTCCCCGTGGCTCAGCGGTTAAGTGCCCGCTCTGCTGCTGGCGGCCCGGGTTGGGATCCCGGGCGCGCACCGATGCACCGCTTCTCCGGCCATGCTGAGGCCGCGTCCCACATACAGCAACTAGAAGGATGTGCAACTATGACATACAACTATCTACTGGGGCTTTGGGGGAGAAAAAAAAAAAACCACATTAAATTGACTCGATATCACTTTATGGTACAATCTAAGGACCAAAAAACTGCCAAGAAATTTTTACTTGTTTTCAGTAATCAATCAGATTGTTGGTAATAACACACGCATACATATTAGCATAGAGCAAGTAAGGAATTATGTTAATGTCATGAGGAACCAAAATTTTCAGAGTAAAGCAAAAGAAATACAAACACAAAATCAAAGAAGTTTTAAGTAAGAACCCCGCAAATTTAAATGTGACTTGTCAATATCAGCATGAATTCATGATATATTTTCCCTTTAAAAAATAAAATTTGAGGAAAGAATGTGGAGAAGTCGGAACCCTTGTGCACTGTTGGTGGAAATTTAAAATAATGCAGTGCTGTGGAAAATAGTATGGCGGTTCCTCAAAAAAGTAAAAATAGAATGACCACATGATCGGGCAATTCCACTTCTAGGTATATACCCAAAGGAACTGAAAGCAGGGGCTTGAAGAGGTATTTTTACACCCATGTTCATAGCAGCATTTTTCATAATAGGCAAAAAGGTGGAAGCAACCCAAGTGTCCATCAGCAGATGAACAGATAAACACAATGTGGTGTATATAGCCAATGGGATATTGTTCAGCCTTAAAAAGGAAGGAAATTCTGACACATGCGACAACATGGATGAACCCTGAGGACATTATGTGAAGTAAAATAGGACAGTCACAAAAGGATGAACACTGTATGATTCCACTTATACGAGGTACCTAGACTCGTCAAATTCATAGAGACAGAAAGCAGAATGCAGGTTGCCAGGGTGGAGGGAAGGGAGAATGGGGTGTTAGCATTTAATGGGGACAGAGTTTTAGTTTTGCGAGATGAAAAGAGTTCTGGAGATAGATAGTGGTGATGGCTGCACAACAACGTGAATGTACTTAATGCCACTGAATTATACGCTTAATAACAGCTAAGACGGTAAATTTTATGTTATGTGTATTTTACTGCACTTAAAAAAAACAAAAATTCATTCATCTTCCAGTTGAAAGTATATACCCTTTAACAACATCTCCCCAGTTCCCCCACCCCCAGCCCCCAGTAACCACCATTTTACTCTGTTTTTATAAGTTTGGCTTTTTTTAGATTCCACATATAAGGGAGATCATACAGTATTTGTCTTTCTCTGTCTGACATCTCACTGAGCATAATGCCCTCAAGGTCCATCCATGTTGCTGCAGAAGGCAGGATTTCCTTCTTTCTCATGGCTGAATAATATTCCATTGTATATATATACCACAACTTCTCTATCCATTCATCCATTGACAGACACTTAGCTTGTTTCCATATCTTTGTTATTGTGAATAACGCTGCAACGAGCGTGGAGTGCAATTAGAAGATGAGTAAGTTCTGGAGCTCTAATGCACAGCATAGTGATTATAGTCAACAATACTGCATTATACGCTTCAGAATTCCTAGGAGACTAGATCTTAAATGTTCTCACCACAAAAAAGAAATGATAATTATACGACTGTGATAGAGGGTGTTAGTTAAAGTTATGGTAGTAATCATATTGTAATATATACGTGTATCATTCAACATATTGTACACTTTAAACTTACACAATGTTATATGTCAAGTATATCGCATTAAAAAAATAAAATAAAAAATTTAGGGGCCGGCCCAGTTGCGTAGTGGTCAAGTTCACGGGCTCCGCTTCAGAGGCCCGGGGCGTGCAGGTTCGGATCCCGGGTACAGACCTACCCACCGCTCATCAAGCCATGTGTGGCCGCACTCCACATACAAAAGAGGAAGATGGGCACAGATGTTAGCTCAGGGCTAATCTCCCTCAGAAAAAAGAGGAAGATTGGCAACGGATGTTAGTTTAGGGCCAATCTTCCCCACCAAAATAAATAAATAAATGTAAAGATTTAAAAAAAATTTAAAAATAAAAATAAAATTTGAATCTATAGTTATTTCAAAATAAAAAGTTAAAAATAAAATAAAATGTCTACTTTCTAGCTCTGTCCACTGAAAAGGCTTACAATCACCAATCCAGCAGCAATAAACACCACTAGTGACTAGATTGTAGTCTCTAAATACTATTTCCCACTCAAAGGAACCAGGGCTCCACGGAGAAATGGCTCATTCCAGGACTGGGGCCGGGCAAGAACAGATGACCTGGAGACCTTTCATTGCATACTGCAAGGAAGCCATAAAAGATTAGTAGGGTCATGTGAAAAGACTCAGGAGCCAATTTGAAGACCCTCTCAATAGTGTAAGATGGTTCAATGTGAGCTTCCAAAAGAATAAGGTCTTAGGGCCGGCCCCGTGGCTTAGCAGTTAAGTGCGCGGTCCGCTGCTGGCGGCCTGGGTTCGGATCCCGGGCGCGCACCGATGCACCGCTTCTCCAGCCATGCTGAGGCCGCGTCCCACACACAGCAACTGGAAGGATGTCCAACTATGACATACAACTATCTACTGGGGCTTTGGGGGAAAAATAAATAAACAAAAATTAGAAAAAAAAAAAGAATAAGGTCTTCAATGGATTAACATACATAAGATCCATGAGTTCATAGTAATACTTAAAATAAAACTTAACTGGTCCCCTTGAAAGCTGATAGCTGATGACCCTCTTTTCAGAATTCCAGATAAATGAGTGAAGAAGGTATGAAAGAATTAGAATGCCATCTTTTATGGGCTGAATTGAGTCCCCCCAAATTCATTAAGTTGAAGCCCTGCCCTCTAGTACCTCAGAATGTGACTGTCTTTGGAGATAGGGCCTTTAAAGAGGTCATTAAGGTTACATGAGGTCATCACAGTGGGCCCTAAGCCAATATGACTGGTGTCCTTGTAAGAAGAGGAGATTAGGACACAGACATGCACCTAGAGAAGGGCAGACCACGTGACGACACAGCGAGGAGAAGGCGGCCGTCTGCAAGCCAAGGACAGAGGCCTCAGAAGGGACCAATCCTGCCAACAACTTGATCTTGAACTTCCAGTCTCCAAAATTGTGAGAAAATTAATTCCTGTTCTTTAAGCCACCCAGTCTGTCGTATTTGTTATGGCAGCCCAAGCAAACGAATACACCATTGCTTTGTAACTCCTAATGAAATAACGGAGCAAGGCAAGGGTCACCGATGGCAGCGAACACCGTTAGGAGAAAACCTGACGGCGAATTTCATGACAACGCCTGAACCCGATGGTGCGCCAGAACAGCACAGAGACGACCAGACAGACAGGGCCCGTGCACACGGACACGCACGCCAACCACCCAGGAAGTTTTCTTGCCAGAAAAATCGAATTGGAACGTGATCAAGCCTCCACATCGGGGGCTACCAGTTTACAGGAGAAACAGGAGAACAGAAAAAGGATCACATTCAGCAACATCTCAGGGATTGAGGAGGACAAACAACTCCCTTTCCTCAAAGCAAAATTGCAAAGAAAAAAGACCCAGAGAAATAGGGCGACCGATAGATTAAAAGACAGTGAAGGTCACAAAAATTAAGATCGTAAAAATTAACTCAAAATGGATCACAGAGCTAAAGGGAAAACACGAAACTACAAAACTCCTAAAGATATTATACGAGAAGATCTTGATGTTCTTGGGTTTGGTGATGATTTCTGAGATACACCACCAAAAGCACAATCCATGAGAGAAAAAGTGATAAACTAGACTTTACTAAAATCAAAAACTTCTGCTCTGCAAAAGACATTGCGAAGAGAAGGGATAGACAAGCCCCAGACTGGGAGGAAATAACTGCAAAACACATCCCATAAAGGATGGGATCTCAAATATACAAAGAAGTCTTAAAACTCGACAATAAGAAAAAGACCCTGAAGAGACAGATAGACTCATTGAAACCTCATGTGGATCCTGATTCAAACTTTAAAAACACACGGATAAGACGATCAGGGAAATGTCATCACGAACCGGGTCCTTAACCGTGTTAAGGAACGTAGTTAATTACTTGTAGGCGTGATAATGGTTTTGTGGCATTGTTTTAAAGAGCCCTTACGGAACAGAGTTACATACTAAAGCATTTACGAATGAAATCCTCTGATGTCTGGGATTTAATCAGAGGTGGGGGGGAGTGGGTGAGGTGGGAGGTGGGGGAGCTGCCCGAGCAAAGATTTAGAGGGAAGATACTGCTCATATGTGGAGTGGCTAGGGGTGCCATGTGCCTGGTGGAGGCAAGTAAAGCTGGACGGGTCTGATGAGGACATTACGCTGGGAGTACTGGGGAGCCATGGAGGGCTGTGAGCAGGGGAGGGGCAGGGGCAGCTCTGGGTACAGAAAGAGCCTATGGGCTGTGTGGGGGATGAGCTGCAGCGGGGAAACTGGAGGCCAGGAAGCCAGGGAAGAGGCTGGGGAGAGGAGGAGGCCTGAGGCGGGGCCCCCGGGGATGGAGAGATCGTGGTGGTGAGGGATTCGGGAGGCTGCTCACCCTTCCACTCCAGGTTTCCGCGGCCCCTCTCCAGATGCCCCAGCAGCCGGTGGGGGCAGGAGTAGAGCAGGAAGGTCTTCTCCTTGTTGATGGCGTCGGCCTGCTGCTCCCACCTCTTACTGATGCTCAGGGACTCGGGCCAGTCCCCATTCCACGTGCCCAGCTTGAGGTCGAACTCCATGAACTCCTCGCCGTTCAGGGCAAACTTGGCCACAGGCACCGAGGCGTTGTCAGGGCCCAGCTCACAGCCCAGCAGGCCCTGCAGGGTGTAGGGACCGGGGGCGCCTACACACACGTGAGCAGGGCTTCCGAGCCGGGGGCCCCTCCTCCCTTAGACCCAGGAGTCCCAGTCTCACCTTCTTCCTGCAAGGCTTTGAAAGCTTCCAGAAAGAGCTTCTCCTTGTTCCTCAGGTCTGTCGTCTCTTTCTCCCAATACCAGGACACCTGGTTCTCCCAGACCCACGCCCCGCAGGGCTCAGCCTGGGCACGCAGGTTATTGTAGCTCAGGTACTGCTGGGGACCCAGCCAGCCTGACACCCAGAAGGCAGGAGTCCCCGGGGCAGGGGAGGACACGGCGGTGAAGTGGTACAGGAGGGACAGATGGTTCTCTGCTGGAGAGAAACAGGTGAAGAGAGCAGAAGGGGGTGGGGGCTAGACTGGGAGCGGGACAGACACTCCGAGAGAGAGAAGACTCAACCCCAGATACAGGGGACAGACCCAGAGAGGGAGGACAGACTCAGAGTCAGGTGGACAGACTCAGAGAGGATGGGAAAGACCCAGAAAGGGTGGGAAAGACCCAGAGAGGATGGGACAGACCCAGAGAGGAGGGGACAGACCCAGAGAGAAGGGGACAGATCCAGGGGGGGTACAGACCCAGAGAGGGAGGACAGACTCAGAGTCAGGTGGACAGACTCAGAGAGGAGGAGACAGACCCAGAAGGGGGGACAGACTCAGAGAGGGGGGGACAGATGCAGAGGAGGGGACAGGCTCAGAGAGGGGGGGACAGACCCAGAGGGGGGGACAGGCTCAGAGAGGAGGGGACAGACCCAGAGAGGGGGGACAGACCCAGGGAAGAGGGGACAGATTGGGGGGCAGACTCAGAGAGGGGCGGACAGAACCAGAGTCGGGGCACGACCCAGAGTCAGGCAGATAGACCCAGACAGAAGGGGACAGGTGGTTCCGGGCACATGGACGCGGGAGGAGAAAGCGATCGACAATGTGAAAGGCGGCGGCGGAGGAGGCGCCGGGCTCGAGCGAAACCTCAGCATTCGCTTCCTTCGCGGGGCTCCCGGCGGCGCAGCTCGCCACCCCCTCCCGCGCCCCGCGCCCCCCGCCCCCCGCCCGGCCCGACGGCCCCTCACCTGCGCGCAGGGTCCCAGGCAGCAGGAAGAGCAGGAGGAGAAGAGGGGGGACCCGCATCCTGAGAGGGCGACCTGGGCGGGAGGGGGCGCGTGACTGCTCGGGACCCCCGCCCCGCCCCGTCCTCCCCCTGCTCGGCCACCAGGGCTGTGGGCTCCGGGCTCGGTCCAGGCGGGTGACAACTGCGCCCTCCTCCTCAGCGACCTTTCACCCCTTAGCGGGATCCCCGGTGGTTAATTAATTACAGAGCCTGCTGAGGCTGAGGTTTCTTTCTCGGAGCGCGCCCCGCCACCGCCTCCTGCTCCTGCTCCTGCTCCTCCCCCTCCTCCTCCTCCCCCTCCCCCTCCTCCTCCTCCCGCCGGCCGGGGACTCCGGGACCCCGCTCCCCTCCGCCCTCGGACCCTGGAGTCCGGGCCCCCAGCCCTCCTCCCTCGGCCCCTCCCCCCTGGGGTCCCCCCTCCCGCGGACCGGGCGCCCCGACCCCAGCCTGTCCTTCAGGAC